AACCCTGTGCTATTTTATGGGAGCATTTAGGCCATTCACGTTGAGAGTGATTATTGAAAGATATGAATTAATTGTCATCATGTTGCTTGTGAAGACGTTGTTTTTATAGATTGTCCCTGTAAATTTCTGTTGTAGATCACTCTTGGGGTCTTTCTCCTTTTATAGAACCCCCCTTAATATTTCTTGCAGGGCCGGCTTAGTGGTCACATATTCTTTCAACTTCTGCCGGTCGTGGAAGCTCTGCATCTCTCCATCCATTCTAAATGAAAGCCTTGCCGGATAAAGTATTCTTGGCTGCATGTTCTTCTCATTTAGTACCCTGAATATGTCTTGCCAGCCCTTTCTGGCTTGCCAGGTCTCTGTGGATAGGTCTGACGTTATTCTGATGTTCCTCCCTCTGTACATAAGGAATCTCTTCCCCCTAAGTGCCCTTAAGATGGTTTCCTTGGTTCTAAGATTTGCAAGTTTTACTATTACATGCCGGGGTGTTGCCCTGTTTTCCTTGATCTTAGGAGGGGTCCTCTCTGCCTCTAGGACTCGAATGTTTGTTTCATTCCCCAGATTAGGGAAGTTCTCAGCTACAATTTGCTCAAAAACATCTTCTAGCCCTTTCTCTCTCCACTCCCTCTGGGATTCCAATGATTCTGACATTGGAACGCCTCATGGTGTCACTTATTTCTCTGATTCTATTTTCATGGATTCTGAGTTGTTTTCCCTGGCCTCATCTTTTCCCTTTTTATCTATTATACTGTCTTCCAGATCACTTATTCTGTCTTCTGTCTCAGTTACCCTAGCTGTTAGATTATCTAGATTGGATTGGATCTCATTGATAGCATTTTTAAGTTCTGCCAATTCCCCTTTTATTTCTGCCCTTAGAGACTCAATGTTGCCATTAATTGATTTCTCCATCCTAGCCATTGTCTTCACAATTGCTAGGCTGAATTCCATCTCCAACATCTTGGTTATATCTGCATCCATTTGTAAATCTGCAGCATAAGTCATAATCTCTGAGTCTTTTCTGTTTTGGGGGCTCCTCCTCCTAGTCATTCTGTTGATGGGTGTTTGAGGGAATGTATAGAGTCCAAATTATTGACCAGAACCCAAGCCAGATGCACCTGTTTTCTTGGGACCTTAGGGTTGCTGGCCTCTTGTTTTCCCAGCCTGTCTTCTGCGGGTGGGGCCTGCCGCGCTGTTACTCAGGCAACCCTGTTTGGGTGGAGTTGCCCTGCCCCCCTGTGGTGGGGGATGGGCTCAGTGGGAATCAGTCTGTGGGGCTTTTGTTCTCTGGCGCCTTTTCCTGGCGGCTTTCCGCATCTCTTCCATGAGTCAGAGCAGAAGAGACGGTTTCCAACCCTCTGCCTCAGAGCAGAGAGACCGCAGTCTGTTCTTCAGTGAGCTCTCCAGGCCACACCGTCTCCGTTTCTGTCCGCGCTGCTATAAACTGCAGCGTCCTGGGTTGTGCGCCCCTCCGCAGCGCTCCCAGTCCTGCCTCCATTTCGGGGCACGTCTCTGCCCTTTGTGCTTCTAAAACCGCCAGCCGCTCCCAATTTGCGCGCACGCGACTCCGCCTCTTGGGGTTTCCACCCCCGGGGGTTGCAGTTCACCAGCGGGACCCCAGCGCACTGGTTTCCGTCTGGGAGGCTGCAGTTCATGTGCGCGGACCGTCACTCCAGGTTTCTGTCTGGGAGGCTGCGGTTCGGGTGCGCGCGACCCTGCCGCACTGGTTTTCCACCCCGGGGGCTGCCCTAAAGTCCTTTCCCAACGCTACCAGTCTGTGAGTCTGTGCCCCCATCCCCAGCATGCGAGGCTGTCACTCACGGGCAGTGTAGGATCCCCACGTCCAGGCACCCTCCCGCCGCCTGTTTATCCTCCAATATCTGCCCGCAGAATCACAGCTCCCTGCTTCATACCTCGAAACCAACCGCCTGCGATATTCTGTTTGTAGAGAACCAGATCTTCTTACATCTCAGGCTGATTTCGTGGGTGCTCAGAGTGGTCTGGTAGATATCCAGCTCAATTCTGGGGACCAGTTGAAATAGGGTCCCCTACTCCTCCGCCATCTTTCCCCCCTCCCTAAAATTTTTCTATTATTACTTTAAATCTGGGAGAAAGGCAACCATTGGAGAGTCACCGCTTCCCCTCTCTTTCTCCTCAGTAGGAAGCAAACCCCATACCCCAGGATATCATGTGCTCTCTTTAATTCCCATCATGCAATTTTTTAAATGTTTATTTGTATTTTCTTTTCTGAGAATTACTGCTGATATTTTTACTCTTCTTTCTTATTGATTTATGGGTGTTCTTTATATCTTTTGGAAGATATATATGAAGATAAAGGAATCCCTTTCTAGTATGTATTATGTAATATATTGTAAATTCTTATTATAATAATGTATGTTTAAATATTTTGTTTATTTTTATGTCTTATTTAATGAGATTGCTCCTACTCTGAAGTCATAAATACATTATTACTTTCTTCTGACAATGTTAAGTTTTCTCTACTTAGTTCTTTAGTCTGCTAGGAATTTATTTTTGTGTGTGGTATAAGGTAGGAATCTAATTTTATTTTTTTCAAAACAGGTGAAAAATTTTTTCCAAACCATTTATTGAATAGCCTTTTTTCACCTCAGATTTTACACTGTATTATTTAAATTGGACTGTAAATTTTCACACACATATGGGTCTGATTCTGGACTTACTCTGTCAATTTGCTTATTGTTTCATCAATACTAGACTATTTTTTGATTACTGACAAGTCAGTTTCCCTTTTTCTTTGAACACTGTGTTACTTTTTAAATATTACTTTGGCTATTTATTTCAGCAAATATTTATTAAGCACGTAAAACAAACTGGGGATGCATGTTGGTTTTCACTTTATCAATTCCATAGCACATCCTGTTGAGCATCATTTCAACATTGTATTTATGTATTTATTTAGACGATGTAGGTGTCTCACAGAATACAACTCAAGAGGCACGAAGTGTATACCATCAAACTCTTTCTATTCTAGATGTTTTCAATCTGATTTTTATGATTCTTTCCACTGAGGCTAATAATGTTACTTTTTTTGTTTCATTCCAGAGATTATATCTATAGATATAAATTTACACACACATTTCTTTTTTACATACACAAATGTAAAATTTAGTATTAAATAATATTACATAATATATTTTTTCTATTTTTAAAAAATTATTTTCAGTTAGCCAACATATAGTACATCATTAGTTTTTGATGTAGTGTTCAACAATTCATTAGTTGTGTATAACATCCAATGCTCATCACATATGCCCTCCTTGATACCCATCACCGAGCTACCTCATCCTCCCACTTCCCTCCTTTCTGAAACCCTCAGTTTGTTTCCCGGAGTCCATAGTCTCTCATGGTTTGTCTCCCTCTCTGATTTCTCCCCCTTTGGATTTCCCTCCCTTCCCCTATGGACCTCCATGCTATTCCTTATGTTCCACATATGAGTGAAACTATATGATAACTGTGTTTCTCTGCTTGACTTATTTCACTTAGCATAATCTCCGGTTCCATCCATGTCGATGCAAATGGTGGGTGTTCATCCTTTCTGATGGCTGAGAAATATTCCATTGTGTATATGGACCACATCTTCTTTATCCATTCATCTGTTGAAGGGCATCTCGGCTCTTTCCACAGTTTGGCTATTGTGGACATTGCTGCTATGAACATTGGGGTGCATGTGCCCCTTCAGATCACTACCTTTGTATCTTTGGGGTAAATACCTAGTAGTGCAATTGCTGGGTCATAGGATAGCTATTTTTTTAACTTTTGGAGGCACCTCCATACTGTTTTCCAGAGTAGCTGTACCAGCTTGCATTCTCATCAACAGTGGAATAGTGTTCCCCTTTCTCCACAACCTCTCCAACATTTGTTGTTTCTTGCCTTGTCAATTTTTGCCATTCTAACTGGTGTGAGGTGGTATCTCAATGTGGTTTTCATTTGAATTTCCCTGATGGCTAATGATGTTGAACATTTTTTCATGTGTCTGTTAGCCATTTGTCTGTCTTCTTTGGAGAAGTGTCTGTTCATATCTTCCACCCATTTCTTCACTTGATTATTTGTTTTTTGAGTGTTGAGTTTGAGAAGTTTTTTATAGATCTCGGATATCAGCCCTTTATCTGTAGTGTCATTTGCAAATATCTTCTCCCATTCTGTGGGTTGCCTCTTTGTTTTGTTGACTGTTTCCTTTGCTGTGCAGAAGCTTTTTATCTTGATGAAGTCCCAAAAGTTCATTTTTGCTTTTGTTTCACTAGCCTTTGGAGATGTATCTTGAAAGAAGTTGCTGTGACTGATGTCAAAGAGGTTACTGCCTTATGTTCTCCTGTAGGATTTTGATGGATTCCTGTCTCACATTGAGGTCTTTCATCCATTTTGAGTTTATCTTTGTGTATGGTGTAAGAGAATGGTCCAGTTTCATTCTTCTGCATGTGGTTGTACAATTTTCCCAGCTCCATTTATTTTTTTTTTTTAAGATTTTATTTATTTATTTGAGAGAGAGAATGAGACAGAGAGAGAGAGCACGAGATGGGGGAGGGTCAGAGAGAGAAGCAGACTCCCTGCCGAGCAGGGAGCCCGATGCGGGACTCGATCCAGGGACTCCAGGATCATGACCTGAGCCGAAGGCAGTCGCTTAACCAACTGAGCCGCCCAGGCGCCCCATTCCCAGCACCATTTATTGAAAAGACTTTCTTTTTTCCATTGGATGTTCTTCCCTGCTTTGTTGAAGATTAGTTGACCATAGAGTTGAGGATCTCATTTCTGGGTTTTCCATTCTATTCCATTGATCTATGTGTCTGTTTTTCTGCCAATAACATACTGTCTTGATGACTACAGCTTTGTAATATTACTTCACTTTAAAAAAATAAAATAACTTTCCCACATTCCTTATAGAAAATGTGTATAATACAAAGAAATTGGGGGGCACCTGGGTGGCTCAGTCATTAAGCGTCTGCCTTCAGCTCAGGTCATGGTCCCAGGGTCCTGGGATCAAGCCCCGCATCGGGCTCCCTGCTCAGTGGGAAGCCTCTTCTCCCCCTGTTTCTGTTCCCTCTCTTGCTGTGTCACTCTCTGTCAAATAAATAAAATCTTAAAAAAAAATACAAAGAAGTTGGGGGAGATAACCCTTAATCCCATCCAGAAGGAACCACATTGATAATATTTGGGCAGAATTTTCTCTGAGTCTTTAGAAATATTTTAAAATACTGAGCAGATACATTTTTTTCGGTATCTATTAAATTGTCTTGTGCTTGCCACAGTATTTGCTTATATTTTTCATTGTTTTGGGCATTTGGGTTGCCCTCAGTTTCTCATTTACAAAGCTTTTTAGGAAATATTTTTAGCTTTTATATGTGAAAAAAATAAACCTCTCTGTGTGTTTCCCCACTTGTGAAATGAGAATAATGATGAATCTTTCAGGGCAGTTATGACGATTAAATGTGAGGACGTGGAGTGTTCATTGTAATGCATGGCACATAAGAAATGCTCAATTACTATCAGCTTTGTCACTTCTAAGCTACTAGACATTACTTATGTTGTCACCTGCAATTTTTACTATCACCTTATATGATGAGATTGTTATTCTTACCCAGGATAAGAAAACTGAGGTTCAAAATTTTTGCATAAATGACCAGTGCACAAAGTTGGCACATGTCTTTGTTACTTTTGTACTTTTTCCTGAAAAGACAAATCCTTGAGTGAGGTTTGCCTTTACAGGAGAAGCAACTATGAGGGCTAGAGAACAGCCCAATTCCTAGCAGAGGCAGAAGCAATGCCCACTTCAGCAATAAAGAGCTTAAAATTTGCTTCTCAGCTACGTGAAGAAAGTCCTAGGAATTAAAACATCTGCACCCCAATGGTTATAGCAGCAATGTTGGACAGTAGTCAAACTATAGAAAGAGCCTAGATGAACAGATGAACGGATAAAGAAGAGGTGGTGTATGTGTGTTTATGTTTATATAAGAATATTACTCAGCCATCAAAAAGAATGAAATCTTACCATTTGCAATGATGTGGATGGAACTAAAGGGTATTATCCTAAGTGAAGTAGTCAGAGGAAGGCAAATATCATAAGATTTCACTCATATGTGGAATTTAAGAAACAAAACAGATGACCATGAGGAAAGGAAGGAAAATAAAATAAGATTAAATAAGAGAGGGAGAAAAACCATAAGAGACTCTTAACTACAGGAACAAACTGAAGACTGCTGGAGGGGAGGTGGGTGAGGGAATGGGGTAACTGGATGATGGGCATTACAGAGGGCACTTGATGTAATGAGCACTGGGTGTTATATGCGACTGATGAATCACTATACTCTACCTCTGAAACAAAAAAAAAAAAGAGAAACTAAAAGAGTTTATTCTAAACCAAGTAACATTTAAAGAGGACAACACATTGGGCAAAGTTTTAATGTCCTCAGTATTGTGGCACTAAGCATACATCTCCTGCTTCCAGATCCCAACCCTTTGTCTGGCACATCCCTCTGTAGGAGCAATGGTCTGGGTGGGAAACCAGACTCTCATCTCCCACTTCATCCTCCTGGGCCTTTTCACCCACTCGCCACTGCATCTCTTCTTCTTTTCCATCATCATGGTCATGTTCCTGGTGGCCCTTTCTGGCAACGGGCTCATGATCCTCCTCATCAACATCGACTCCCGCCTGCACAGCCCCATGTACTTCTTCCTCAGCTGGCTGTCACTCATGGACCTCATGCTCATCTCCACCATTGTGCCACGGATGGCCACTGACTTCCTCCTAGGCCATGGCTCCATCTCCTTCACAGGCTGTGGGCTCCAGATCCTCTTCTTCCTCACCCTCCTGGGGGATGAATGCTTCCTGCTGGCCTTTATGGCCTATGACCGCTATGTGGCCATCAGCAACCCATTGAGCTACTCAGTGGTCATGAGCCGCCGTGTCTGCTGGCTCATGGTGGCAGGGTCCTGGCTCCTTGGCCTGGTGGATGGACTGATCCAGGCCATTTTCACCCTTCGCTTCCCTTACTGTGGCTCTCAGGAGATCGACCACTTCTTCTGTGATGTCCCTGCCATACTGAAGTTGGCCTGTGCTGACACCTCCCTCTATGAGACCATGATCTATGTCTGTTGCATCTTAATGCTGCTCCTGCCCTTCTCTGTCATCTCCGCCTCCTACCTGTGGATCCTGGTAGCTGTGCTCCACATGCATTCTGCTGAAGGTCGTCAGAAAGCCTTTGCTACCTGCTCCTCTCACATGGCAGTGGTTTCTCTCTTTTATGGGGCTGCCATGATCACCTACATGCGGCCTCAGGCCTACCACTCCTCCAAGCAGGACAAGGTGGTCTCAGCCTTCTATACAATGATCACCCCTATGCTCAACCCACTCATCTACAGCCTGAGGAACCAGGAAGTGGCTGGGGCTCTCAGAAAACTCCTGGGGAGGTGTCCCTGTGGTGGGCGGGCAGGTCTAGGTTGACATTGGCACCTGTGGATGTGGGTTCTGGGGTCTGGGAACTTGAATTAGCTTCTGTAGTTTGACTGGAAGAGAAACAGATGTGCCATACTGAAAATAAGTCATTCCTTGACCAGAGTTCATGAGATTAACACATTAATTCAATCAAGAATGTTCATGCTGAGTATGGATAGTGTAGAAGGAAGGCTGCACCAATGGGGTTAAAAGAATAGGACACACAGAGCATATGTCCCACAGAGTTAGCAGGTGACAGGTTTCAGCTGTTTACCTCTGCAGGAATTGCCAACAACTGAGGAAAACACCTTGCTCAAGTTGTGCTTCTCCTATGACTAGTTGGTACAGGATATAAAGGCTTGGTTACCTTCCCTCAGTTTGACCCTGAATGTCCATCCCAGCTCCAGGACTCCCTGTAATATCTGAAGCATTACAGACTACATATCCCTGTATCCAATTTTGCTTCCTTATCTCCCTTCTGTACCATGAATTCAATCCTTACAGCACTCTTTAATAAACCTTCCAACATGTAAAACTTGTCTCAGTCTGCTTCCAGGAAACCTAACCTGTGACACATGGAAATGAATGATGGTAAGTTAAAGTCATGTTTGCTAGATATGTTCATGTACATGTGGTCAAAATAAAATGTGGACACAGAAAACTTTGTTGCTTGGTGGTATCAGAGGGAAGTCAGAAAGTTTCCTGAAGACACATAAGACAAGTTTAATGCAGGGGTGGCAAATGCAAATACCAACACTTCCAGACAGGGAGTGTCAATGAGGAAAGCCATCTGGTGGGCCACTTGGCCGCACTGCTGCACAAAGTCTGGTTGAGCTTTGAGTCAGGAAAAGATAAAGTGCAAGTTTGATAGAAGCTGGAAGTTCACCCATGGATGGGCCTTACAAGTTGACCCAGAAGCAGCATTAAACAGCGGGCAGGACAAAGAAGAGAGGAAGGTATGCAGAGCAGAATGCCAGCCAGCCACAGAAGGGCTCTGACATGTTTCCAACCTCTCCATGAGGTCCAGTAAGATGACTCTCAGATCCCCATCTCTTGTCCTGAATTCAAAGAAAGCCCTAGGAAACCTCCTTGGAGTTCTATGCCCCAAGAGAATCTTTTGCTCCTGTTATTCTGTCCTTTATTTCCACCCTGACCCAGTGGAAAATACTGAGAAGTGAACATAACTGAACAGAAGGACATCTCGTTGTTGAAGGTATGTTGTTCTCAAGCTCTCCTGTAGCTGCACAGCACTGGCTCAGTTCTGGGGTGAGGGCGTCCTAAGCTCTTTAACAGGAGGAAACCTGGGAAAAGTTAGATGGGACCTAACAAAGACCTTTCCACTGCCTTTTCCTTCCCTGTGTTTCCACTCAAGAAAGCAAATAACAAAATAACAAGATGAAATCTTGGTAGAATCACTAATTGTCAGCACTTTGTTTAAATGAAAGACCTGAACTGTGATTATAATCTGAACAGCCTACATTTGAGAGAAACAAATATTACGGATATGACCTTTTTTTTTGTTTTAATTTTAATTCAAGTTGGTTAACATAGTGTTATATTAGTTTCAAGTATAAAATATAGTGCCTCAACACTTCCATACATCGTTCTGTGTTCATCATAAGTGCACTTCTTAATCCCTCTCACCTATTTAACCTATCCACCCCACCTCTCTTCTCGTACCCATCATTTGTTCTCTACAATTAAGAGTCTGTTTCTTGATTTTTTTCCCTTGGCTCATTTTTGTTTCTTAAATTCCACATATGAATGAAACATACGGTATTTGTCTTTTTCTGACTTATTTCGCTTAGCATTATACTCTCTAGCTCCATCCATGTCATTGCAAATGGCAAGATTCCACTCTTTTTTTATGGATGAATCATATTCCATTGTATATGTATGCCGTATCTTCTGCATCAGTTGATGCATTCATCAATGGGTGGACACTTGGGCTTCCTCTGTATCTTGGCTATTGTAAATAATGCTGCTATAAACATGGGGGTACATCTATCTCTTTGAATTAGTGTTCTTGTATTCTTTGGGGTAAATACCCAGTAGTGCAATTGCTGGGTCATAGGGTAGCTCTATTTTCAACTTTTTGAGGAACCTCCATACTGTTTTCCACAATGCCTGCCCCAGGTTGCATTCCCAACAGTGCAAGAGGGTTCCCCTTTCTCCACAACCTTGCCAATACCTGCTGTTTCTTGTTATGCTGACTTTACCCATTCTGACAGTTTTGAGATGATATCTCACTGTAGTTTTCATTTGCATTTACCTGATGATGAGTGATGTTAAGCATCTTTTCATGTGTCAGTTGGCCATCTGTACGTCTTTGGAGAAATGTCTAGTTATGCCTTCTGCCCATTTTTTAATTGGATTATTTGGTTTTTGGGTGTTATCTGTTTTTTTAATATATTTTGGATATTAACTGTTTATTGCATATATCATTTGCAGATATCTTCTCCCATTCCATAAGTTGCCTTTTTGTTTTTGTTATTTCCTTTATTGTGCAGAAGCTTCTTATCAGGATGAAGTTCCGATAGCTTATTTTTTTGTTTCCCTTGCTTCAGGAGACATACGTAAAAAGATTTTGATATGGTCAATGTCAAAGAGGTTACTGCCTGTTTTCCTTTAGAATTTTGATGGATTCCTCTCTCACATTTAGGTCTTTAATCCATTTTAAATTTATTTTTGTGTATGGTGTAAGAAAGTGGTCCAGTTTTCCCAAAACCATTTATTGAAAAGATTATCTTTTTCCCATTGGATATTCTTTCCTGCTTTGTCAAAAATTAATTGACCATGGAATTTGGAATTTGGGGCTCATTTCTAGGTTTTCTTTTTTGTTCTACTGACCTATGTGTGTTTTTGTGCCAATACTATAGTTTTTGTTTTTTAAGATTTTATTTATTTATTTGAGAGAGAATGAGAGACAGAGAGCAGGAGAGGGAGGAGGGTCAGAGGGAGAAGCAGACTCCCTGCTGAGCAGGGAGCCCGATGTGGGACTCGATCCCGGGACTCCAGGATCATGACCTGAGCCGAAGGCAGTCGCTTAACCAACTGAGCCACCCAGGCGCCCAATACTATACAGTTTTCATCACTGCAGCTTTGCAATAACTTGAGGTCCAGAATTGTGATGCCTCCAGCGCTTTGCTTTTCTCTTTCAGGATTACATGGTCTATTCAGGGTGTTTTGTGTCCCATGTGTTTTCCCAGCAAGTCATTCCTTTGCTCCACTACAGAGTAACACAAATCTAAACTGCTTCATAACCTTTAACTCTCAGAGGCTGCGACTGAAGTACTTCCTTCCTTCCTGTGATGTGGAAACTGATGTTCCAGGATTTCAAAACTCCTCGGTGTGAAATTAAAAATTAAATCCTCAGGCATCAGAATTCCTAGTTCTGTTTGTGACTTGCCAGTTAGACTCAATCTTAAATAAAGTGTGTATGTGGTTTTATTAAACAACCTGTCACGAGGGACAAACTGGACGCCTGCTACAAACGCTACTTAGTGCCACCGAGACAGAACACAGTTCTTAAAATTTAATGGAATTCCAACAGTAAACATTTTCCTGTGGGTTCTGGTTTCCAATACCTGTCTACTATTGGGAGTTAATACTTATTACCTGTTCAACAATTACAGAAAAAACTTTATAAAGTTACGAAAAGTTTTGAATTTGAGGTATATAAAGAATATTCATTAAGAATAAGGTAGTCAAGGTTTTCTTTTACTCAAAAAAAATCACTTCAAAGAGCTGACCTCCATGTACAAAAGACAAGATCAATCACACTTATCACTGGACACAAAGAATATTCCAAAGAGCTTTAAAAATGGTAATTAATCTCAAAAAGGAAAATTAACTTTAACTTTTATAGTTCATTATCAAGACCATACTTGCTTAACAAGGTAATTATGCTACTGATACAAAACATACAATATTTACATTTAACTGTACAAAATAATTTAATGTTTACAAAAATATTAGAATGTTTAGAGTTGACTGACACAGTCTTAAGTAATCTCTTCTAGAGAAGTATATAGTAAGACCACTGATTTCCATTTCATTTCTTGTTTAATAAGTCAAAGAAAGGATGCTGCAAGGCTTCATCCAAGGTGATTCTTTTCACTGGGTCGTATTCTAACATTCTTCGTACCAGGTCAAACAGTTTCTCATGTTCTTCATCATGACAAAGCATAAATTCCTGGGGGACAAAATGTCTGTTTAAAAAACAATTTAAAAATAACTTTTAAAAACATTTTTTTTAACCACCTCGGATCTTTTCTCTTTTACCTTTAATGGTTTGCAGCGTCTCCTAACGTATCGGCCAGCGGAACTGTGTTCATCCCAGTCTAGCTGGTTATGGTGGAAATACTTGCGCTTTCTACAAGAAAAAGAAGTCTGGGTCAGTAAAAACAACAGAAGAGCCACATGTTTACCCTACCCCCACTGGACCAAATGGAAGCATGGGCAGCTCTGCAGACACACACACACGCATACAATGTTTTCACATCTCAGCAGTTACGTATCAGGTACTTTAGGTTACATCTCCCTCACTCTTGCACCCTCTGAGGTTTTGGTGGCCCGCCTGAGTGGCTCGTAAATACCATGCATGGAACAGTGTCAGCCTCTGGACCCAGCCCCATGAGTTCAGACTGCACTAGATCTGGGATGGGGTGGTGAAGCTTTGTTTGCAAACCACTCTAGTATCTTGTCCAAAGGCAGACATCTAGCTAGCAGTGGTATGGAATACAAACAGATCAACAGGACTCCAAAATCAAGCTCTTTTTACTACTCTCTGTATTATGTTTTTATCAAGTTAGGAAAACATTTACGCAAAAGTTAACCTGAGTGTAAAAACACCATACCTTTGTTTACTAAATCACAAGGTAAATACTGCATTACTTTTTAAAAATTTGACTTCATGAAAAAAAAATCTAAATCAAAGTCCTTGGGACAAGCAGTAACAACGAAGTTGGGTTTTCTGTAGTTTGAATAGGGCCTTGCACGTACCTTGTTTTCTGAATCATGTGTGCCGGTATGGGTCCTAATATTCGTTCCATCATTGCCAGGTGCTCTTTACTATCATGAGTCTAAAATACATAAGAAAAACGAATTTAGCACTTTCCCTTGTGCTACAAGCACAATAAAGGAAAATACCGGAAAACAGCACTGACAACAAAGGGCTAGATTAGACAGCTGCATGGCTGATACTAAACTCTACTTCAAAGACGGAACAATACTGAGTGAGCTGTATTCTCCGTGCAAACCAGTAAAACTGAAAAGTCTTTCTGAAATCCAACAGTAAGGTTCTGTATAGCAGAAGACATGGACTTTAATGCGAAAATGAACATTTTCCTTATTTATTCTCATTTCTTGCACCATTTGTTAAAGAATCACTAGGGAAAAGTACCAGAAAAACGGTCTCCTCACTTATTCAGCTGCTGACCCCAAACTGGCCTCCATTCACCAGTGAATAGCAACATGTTGACATCTACTATTCCCAGGCAATAAAAATACAGGGCCAGTAATTCTCACAACAATCCTGAGCTCCGTATGTGGGAACGTGCGTGTCCAAGAAGCTGAGATACTAGCTCATAAATGAGCAAAGGTGAGTTGTGGATCTAAGTAAAAACTCGTCACACAGGAGCAGAGCTCTGGCCCAAGTAGGGGAGAGACCCGCACACTTACAGCTGAGATAGTGAGCTCCCTGATCAGAGGCTGGCGGCTAACTTTTGTGAAGGTCCAAACAGTAAACATTTTAGGCCTACCTGGCCATAAATGGTCTCTGTCACATTCTTTTTTAGGCAGTCATCAGGCAGAACATCATTTGCCAACTCTCAAGTGTGAAGAGCAGAGGCTGTGTGCAATGCCTTTTAAAATCTATCAACTACTGTTCCTAGCACCTCGCTTCCAACATGCAAAGTCCCTAATCTATGACAGGAGGAGGTAATACTAGCTCCACTTTTATCTTTATGTTTTTAAAATACCACCAGTGAGTCTGAAAGATCATCCGGCATCTTGCTGTTTCTGTAGCTTGACAACTTAGATCTTACTCATCAGCCTGCTGAACTGTTCCTTTTTCCGAATCATAGATACCACCTCCGTGTTTTCTGATATCCTTGTTTTTAACTGTTGTGGCTTGCTGAATCAAAGCAGCTCAATTTGATACAAGTTCAGTGTCATTTCCTTCAAGAATTAACTCATCTTTCTGGGCTTGAGAGATACTGAACAATCAACACCTGGCCTCATCCAAACCCTGCAGGCATATTTTTCACCCAAGAAATGTCAGATTTCAACAAGAAAACCATTCTCTTAAGTAACAATGTTGATGGGGAAATGAGCATATACACACCTCATCTTGTAATGGAAGCCCAGTCTAACACCCTTGCTCATGTTCTGTACAGGACTACAGACAGAAAAGAACTGGCTACGGTTCACACTATTTCCCCATCATTTGTCAACCTGGAATCTTCTCCTCCTTTCCAAGGAGACGGAGTTCTACACTGATGTGACTGAAGTCCCTTTGCAGGGTTCCTCTGGGGCTCTTTACAATAGTGCATCCCTTCGGAGTGATGTGGACATTTTCTGGAATGTCAACCCTCTGACTGCTAATGGTCTTCCTTCTCGCAGTAGGTGCAGCTAAAAGCTAGCTCCACATTTTAAAAAAATTCCTTAGTTGAAGAGTATTTTGGAGGGTGGAACTTAAAACAGAAAACATGTCTCAAACCAGTGTTAATAATCTGCACTTAAGACCTCAGAGTGATTTACAATCACAAATCATGGGAAGCAACTTATTACAGGTGTCAGAAGGAAGAAGACCTCACTCTGCTCAACTTTTCCTGGCCCTCAGCTTACCGCCACAAACCAGATATACCACCTCCAGGAACTGACTGGTCACCATGGTTCTAGATATCAAACTTGTCTATAAACTCAGGGTACTTTTAACAGGATCTCTGTGGATTAGCAATAGGGAGACAGCTGGTGACGGGCCCCACAAGCAGAGAACACATTCTACAAGAGCCAGCACCCAAGTGACTCTGAACTCCTCACACTCCCCACCCCCGCACCCTGCATCCCCCCCGAAAGCAAGTCACCCTCAACAGTAGGAGCCAGAATGTGCCAAACTTGGACCCCCACCCCCCTCAAAAGAGATCACGACACTTTGAGCACATCACAGCCCTACTTCCAAGTTCTCCAATGCTCGCACAACCTAAACCTTTTAGAAGATGGTTAGATTTCAGATGTAAGTAGAACTATAAGGGAAGAAAGTAGAGACTTAAATAAGGTTTCCTACTTTGTTTTGCCAAGTAAGGACTTTAATTTTAAAAACCAACTACCAACAACTATTATCACCATTCCATAAAAGGCACAATTTAGTACCAAAAACAAAAAACCTGGAGGAATAATCTCTAAATAAAGGCCAGAATGACAAACTTACAAAATCATTTCCACACTGGGTTAGCCTACATTCTGGAAAACACTAACTTCTAGGAAACAAGTTCCTTTCTATCCAAACAAGTCCATTAGTCAGTCCCTGCATCATTTCCCCATTTATGCGAGATACTCTGACAGCACTGTTTACGGTTCCCCGACTAGAGTATGTTCTTTTACGCCTCTATACGTTAATGGGTACAATTTCTTCTTCCTGAGCTGGCTGCCACTCTCTCTAGTTTTCTGACAAACCCCTCATCTTCCTTCTAGCACTGGCCTAAACTACACCTCCACAGTGGTGCCTTGTCAGAGGAATGTAACTGTCCATCTTTCCTGGGTTCCCACTACGCTTTCTACATTGTTCCATAATAGCAAATACACCACACTGTATTGTAAGCTCTCCCACATCTCTTTTGCACGAATTCCTTGAGGAGAGAGATGTTGTCTTTTCATCTTTATACACGTAAGAGCCTTGAAATGTGCCTAGGGGGTCACAGATGCTTAATACATAAGCATAAAATACCACTTATTGTTCCTGAATTGTTTTATAAAAAGGAGTAAGTGACTTGTTCATGGCCGTGCTGTCAACATAACCAGAACGGAATTAAAACTGGCCACAGTTAACACTAATATAAACTTATGCAAGAGCTCAAGAAAAAAATGGGAACACAGTATGAACTGTGTGTTAAAAACTCCAATCACATGCAAAATGGACTATGACCATTCACCAAAAGTAGTTCACCCAATTCCAGTTTTAGAGAAGGATGACCATTTTCCATATGTAAGTTTTAACCTTAAGAAGAACAACACTACAGCAACTTGTCAATATGGAGGCCAAAATTTTCACATGTCTTTAATACTGAAAAAAAATTATGAAATGGTATTTACTAAATACATACCTGAAAGACTGTGAAACCAAGGTAATATTCAATAAGAATGCAACCTATGCTCCAAACATCACAAGGCTGGGACCAACCTAAAGCTGTAAAAACAAAAACACACAACTTGGTTTTTTTGTTTTTAATTAATTTGAGAGAGAGAGAGAAAATAAGCAAGCAAGCACAAGTGGGGAGAGGGAGAGGGAAAAGCAGACTCCCCACTGAGCAGGGAGCCCGACATGGGGCTCGATCCCAGGACTCTGGGATCACGACCTGAGCCGAAGGCAGATGCTTAACAGACTGAGACACCCAGGCGCCCTAAAAACACATTTTTTTTTTTTTATGTTAGTCACCATACAATACATCATTGGTTTTTGATGTGGTGATCCACGATCCATTGTTTTCGTATAACACCCAGTGCTCCATGCAGTACGTGCCCTCCTTAAGACCCATCACTGGGCTAACCAATCCCCCTCCCCTCCCCTCTAAAACCCTGTTTGTTTCTCAGAGTCCACAGTCTCTCATGGTTCATCTCTCCCTCCAATTCCACCCCCCCATTTTCCCCTTCCTTCTCCTAATGTCCTCCATGCTATTCCTTATGTTCCACAAATAAGTGAAACCATATGACAATTGACTTTCTCTGCTTGACTTATTTCACTCAGCATAATCTCCTCCAGTCCCATCCATGTTGATGTAGAAGTTGGGTATTCATCCTTTCTGATGGCTGAGTAATATTCCATTGTATAGATGGACCACGTCTTCTTTATCCATTCATCTATTGAAGGTCATATTGGCTCTTTCCACAGTTTGGCTTTTGTGGACATTGCTGCTATGAACATTGGGGTGCATATGGCCCTTCTTTTCACTACATCTGTGTCTTTGGGGTAAATACCCAGGAGTGCAATTGCTGGGTCATAGGGTAGCTCTGTTTTTCAATTTTTGAGGCACCTCCACACTGTTTTCCAGAGTGGCTGGACCAGCTTGCATCCCCACCACCAGTGTCAGAGGTTCCCCTGTCTCCCAACCTCTCCAGCATTCACAAACACACACTTGTACATGCAACAATTTTTAATCGCCACTACAGCCTTCCCCATATGGGTGCTCTTTTCACCTCGCCCATTTGGGAGAACAGGACAGTAAACTCAGGGTTTACATCTTCAGTTTTATATAAGATGTCACCCAGTATGTTCTCATAATTCTCCATATCCTTACAACAAGTCAGTGCTTTAATCTGGGGGTGGGGGCATTTTATGTAAAATAAGAGAGGGACTAGCAAATATTTCCCACGTGTAACTACCAATTTGTACAAATACTCCATAGTCTCAGAACTGTATGCAATGGGAAGCATGGTTACACCCAGTTCATGGTTATTCCAGGAAAATTTATATTTTTATAGCAAATACAGGTTGACAATCATCCTCAAAATGTAATTACTAACCACTTATCAATTATTATCAGCGTAAAGCCTGAGTTTACTTCTTGCATTAAAAAAATACTATAGTTTGGGCACCTGGGTGGCTCAGTCGTTAAGCATCTGCCTTCGGCTCAGGGCATGATCCCAGGGTCCTGGGATCGAGCCCCGCATCGGGCTCCCTGCTCCACAGGAAGCCTGCTTCTTCCTCTCCCACTCCCCCTGCTTGTGTTCCCTCTCTTGCTGTGTCTCTCTCCGTCAAATAAATAAAATATTTAAAAAAATAAAAAAAATAAAAAATAAAAAATATAGTTTTACATAAATTACATAAGGATTATAATGGTATTGCAAGCAGTTTCATTATAAGCAAAATTACAGAGCCATTTAAAGTTCACAGGGATCTACTTATTCTACTTATATATGTACTTTTCAAGCTGTCTGTACGTGGTATCACATATACTTTCCCCTTCACAATTCTCAATGGCAGTACTGTTCAGGAAAGAATAAAATACCTAGTCTTCTTAAGCCTGTACTTAATTGGAAAGGAGAAAAAGAGTAAACCATATAGATGTTTTCATCTTTTAAAGATCAAATAGTTAATAAAACAATAATATATAAATAAAACCTACTTTAAAAGACATTTCAATTACTTTCAGTAATGAAAAACACATTCGAAAAACTTGACTGTGATTTAGTCATTTTATTTACTTATTTTTTTAATTTAGTCACTTTGGTTAATCCTCACAGTGCCTATCATTTGAACAAATGGATAACTGCGCACGGGGTCTACCTATGGTGACACATAAAAAAATCTGCAAATGATAGGTCTTGGACCCAAAATTAATGTCTTCTTCTCCAGCCACTCCCATCTCCCAAAGCAGCTTTTTTCCCAGGTGAGCATAACCTGCCACACACCGTTCTAAACCATCCCATTCTCTTGGGCACCGACTCGGACTCTCTGGGATTCCCCACCGTTCACTTCTACCTACCTCTCTGAGCTTCATCTGTTTACTACCAGCACGCAAGACAGGAGACCAACTGCCCTCCTCAATGGCACCCCTGACTTCATCTTCCTCTTCAACCTAATTCTGCCTTAATCCTCAGGATTAATACTTCACAAAAACACAAAGGACCCTACTAATCTCCCAATCTCCTAATTTCTTTTCCTCAAGGGCAATAACCCCAAGTCTGCATTTACATCAACTATCTAGTCTGGCCATACTTGGAACTGTGTTACTGTCATTACTAAGAATTACTGTATTTTATCCAATCTAGGGAGGCCATTAACAGTAAGACACAGGACTATTTTATGTACCAATAACGAAGAAAAAAATGCCAGTTATTCTGTGTTGTGTTCCTCATGTTAAAATGTGGGGGGAAATCTGCATTTTTTTTTAAAGATTTTATTTATTTATTTGAGAGAGAGAGACACAGCGAGAGAGGGAACACAAGCAGGGGGAGTGGGGGAGGGAGAAGCAGGCTTCCCTCGGAGCAGGGAGCCCGATGCGGGGCTCGATCCCAGGACCCTGGGGCCATGACCTGAGCCGAAGGCAGACGCTTAACGACTGAGCCACCCAGGCATCACTTATTTTTTATTTTTAAAGATTTTATTTATTTATTCATGAGAGACAGAGAGAGAGAAACAGAGGCAGAGGGAGAAGCAGGCTCCCCACTGAGCAGGGAGCCCGATGCAGGACTCGATCCCAGGACCCTGGGATCATGCCCTGAGCCGAAGGCAGACGCTTAACGACTGAGCCACCCAGGCGCCCCGGGGAAATCTGCATCTTAAAATTGACAACACAGTAAGTTATGTCTTTTTAAGACCCGAAAATACTTCTCTGTCCACAGACTCTTTCCATACCCCTTTCTTTTGCCCTCATTGAAGCCTTTAGTCCTCAACCATGAATACACTTTCTAAACTACTGCAACACAACGGCTCCTTTCAGACCACACTAAGCAGGAATCCTATTATCATCCATTTCAAAGACAAGCTCGAAACCTTACTTTCCAGCACGGTGGCCACCGGCCACATGAGGCTATTTACATCCAACACTTAAATTAATATAAAACTTAAATTCAGTGTCTCAGTCACACTACTGACACTGCAAGTACACAGTAGTCCACATGTGGTGAACGGCCACCATATTGGACACTGCAGATATCCAACGAAAGTTTCCATGGAAACATGGAAAGTTCTATTGGCCAGCACTGCCTAATATTCTCAATTTCCTTATGCCTTTACCAATCCCCCAACTCTAGGTAAAAATCATGTTTTTCTAATCTTATTCTGAACTACCAACTCCTGTTGCGCAAAAAAAGGTGAAAAGAAGAAACTGACTCTACTAAAATGGTCTACTACTCAACCTCAGTTGGACCATACTTTTGGCTAATAAGCTTATTCCATGTAACCAACTACAAAGAGCACCTGGATCTGAATTTCCTTCCACTGTCTCCGAACCCCCAACCTCCTGACACTTCCCCACTTGATTACAAGATCTGGTCTCTGGGACATTTTTGAGGCATAAGACACACACTCCCTTACTGAATTCCCTCCTATTTCAAAACTCTGTACCTTAAGTCATTTTCTTCTTTAATCTTTCTCTCATTTTCTTCTCGAAGAAGCTCTCCTTTTAGACTGGCCCCCCTCCTTCTTCTTGACCTCCATCTGCTCTTTACCTAGATGTCTGCCAACCAGACCTTTAGCATTTCTACAGCACCATGCTTTTGTGACGTGAAAATGGGTAGCCCCATCACTTCACATTGCTGTGACAGACTTTGTCAACGGAACCTGCCCTTTTATGATCTCGCAAAGTTAACCTGTTTAAAAAATAACCACTTGGGGGCGCCTGGGTGGCTCAGTCAGTTAAGCGTCTGTCTCTCGATTCCAATTCAGGTCTTGATCTCAGGTATGTGAGTTCAAGCCCTGCACTGGGCTCCATGCTGGGCATGGAGCAAGCATACAAGCATACATAAATAAAATAAAAACTAAAAACAAAAACATCTGAAATGTCTTTACAGATGGTATCACATTTTTCCCATTCAGGAAAAGTTATTTTTAGCCATGTCCAGACAGTTTTTCTTAAGACAGGTAACATTTTCTGTACACTGCTAAGAAAATCATATCCAGCCCCCCCAATCCCCTAATAAAAGATGTGGAGGAAAAAAATATCTTTTTTAATTACAGTATCAGGAAGGGTGGTGTCTACTGACCCAGAATGACCTCTGGAGCTCTGTAATGCCGTGTAGATACCAAAGTACTATGATGTTCATCATCGTACGTTGCACTTCCAAAGTCAACAACTTTGATATCTGTGTTTTTCAGTGTGCGTTCATCACGTTTCTAGAAAAATACAGTTGAGTCAACACAAAGATCAGTAAAGAAATGAAATACTTTATAGCACTTCAAAAGGCTTGCTGCACATGAATTATCTTTCTGATGTTCAACATAACTCCATGAGAAAAGTAAAGAAGGATTATCCTTTTTAGGTTAAATATCAGGATATAACCAGCCTCAGAAGTGAAAATTCCTCATCCAAGATCACCAAGCTAAATTAATTTTAAAAACCACCACCAAAATTAAGTCTGTAACTTACCATTTTAGAATTATATTTGACTACATAGTCAGACTTCACAAATAAAATATTTTCAGGCTTCAGATCTGTATGGGTTAATTTATTATGATGCAAAACTACAAGAGAACAAAAAGGCATTATTAGTTTCCTTTACATTATTTCATCCGTATTGGGGGACAGTGAGGATTAGTAGTGGGTACGGGAGTTTCATCTTTACCTAACGTGTACTTTTAGTAACAATGTTTTGACATGTTGCTTGTATAACGAACACTTTTAATTTTCTGGTGTTTAAAATTTATCAAGTATACTTACAATTTATAGACTGGCAGATCTGATACGCCATCTGCCTGATGTGGTCAATTTGAAATGGTAGAAAGCTATTTTCTTTAATGAAATCATAGGTACTAAGTCCCAGTAGTTCAAACACAATACAAACATGACCATGATGATCAAACCATTCTAGCATCTGGACACATCGGCTAAAACAGATCAAAATAAAAACAAGTCAGTTCACAGAATTCTGCTTAATTTAGGCAACATGATGGAGCACAGTTCAAGTTTATACTTACAAGACACTATTGGGATCAGTACTATTTAAATGCTCCAATACTTGGATTTCTGAACGAGCTGCTTCACGGTATCGACCTACATTTTTTACAATTTTCACTGCTACATGTATGCCATCCCTTAAAAACAAAATTAAGATGAAAAAGGTTTATGTACAGGAGAAGGCTGAAGACATGTGTCCTCTAAAGCATAATCTTACTGAGTATTAATTACTCTTGTTATTTTTCTAAAATAAGTCTAAAAAGACTTTTCAGGGCATCTTTTATCAGATTCCATATAACATCTTTTCAAAACATTCTGACAAAACACACTTTCTATAGAACAATTCCCTTAATACTCACAAATATTAATGTTTCCAGAACTTTACAATTTACCTAGATTTTAAACAAAAGTTAAAAAAAAAAAAAGAAGATAAAAATAAAACCTCAAATAGAACATGCTACTGCTGAAAGCATATGCTCATTCACCGGGACAGACCACCCTGTGCCAGAGGGCACACAGGTGTTAGTGAAGAAGACAAGGTTTGTCCCTCCGTTCCTCACGGTCTAATGGAAAAAACAGACACATGAACAACTTACAAGGTTAGAAGTGCTTCGTATGAGCTACTTACTACACAGCAAAGAGATGGGAGAGCTTAACAATTAGGGGGTCAGGGAAGCTCAAACTTATTCAGAGAAGAGGTGACACATGACTGAGCCCTGAAAAACAGCTACCAGTCTGTAAGATTTGGGAGGAAAAGTGAACATGTTCAAACAAAGCAGACGCCATGAAGCCAAGAAAATGTTTAGCACATTCACTGATGCAAGTAGGTAAAACAGCTAGAGTAGGGCAGAAGCTTTAGACTGGGGTATCTGGGTATCTGTAATACTTCCTAGAAAGTATCAAGCCACGAATGATCTAGAAGGAAATGGATTTCTAAACCTTCCAATTCTTTTTGTCTTCTTTTCTAAATCTGATCTTCCTAAAGACGAACCAGCATTCGAGCCTCCTTTTTTTTTTTACTGTGGTCCTTCCACTTTACATAAGAAAACTTCATACACCCCTAATTAGTGTATTAAGATATGTGCCCTAGGGGGCGCCTGGGTGGCAGAGTCCATTCAGCAGCCAACTCATGATTTCTGCTCAGGTCATGATCTCAGGGTCATGAGAGTGAGCCCCACGTCCCGCTCGGTGCTCAGCGCCGAGAGTTTGCTTGAGAGTCTCTCCCTCTGCCCCTACCCTCACGCTCTCTCAAAATAAATTAGCCTTAAAAAAAATCGTTGAGGCAAACCAAGCTTTTTAGCGGCTGGACAGCAAACCTTTTTTCCAAGTCTGGTGGGTTCCGATTCACTGTTTTCAACAAAGCCCCAGTGAAACTGTGAGCTCACAAATCATTAAAAACTTATTTTGATGATAATCTCCCTATGACACTTGGCATGTATCTCAAGACTTCTTCAAAGAGTCGCTATGAAACTACTGTGACAAAATTCCTTCTAGTCTCATCTACTGTATGACCAAGTTTTCTCAGTGCTTATTAGCTCTACAAATGAAAAATAAAACCGTTAGCTAAAACTACTAGAGTAATTATATTACAGTGAAGAATTGTACACTTTCAACTTACACGTTACATGTCATCTAAAAAAAAAAAAGGGAGCCTCTAAAGTTAAGCACTTGAAGTATGTTTATGAATATGTGTACTCCTTTTTTAAAAGTCCAAACCAACCCAATAAAAGACACATTTCCAATTAACTTTTATACGCAGGTCCAATAAGTATCAAAATTTGCAATAGAATTGTACTTGATCAACTGAATACCATTAATTGGAATATCTCAAATACTCACTTTGGAATCTCAAGAAATTTTAAAGGATATTAATAGGACAACTGGTGAAGTCTGAGTAAGACCTGAGCTGGCAAAATTTGAAAATATAACACATGTGTGTATATAGAGAATGATAAAATGTAAAATGCTAACATGTGGAAAATCTGGGAAAGGGATATATAGGATTTTTCAGCTATTCTAGAAACTTTTCTAGAAGTCTGAAAGTATTTCAATATACTTCAAAATTTCACTTAACATTCACATTTTTGTTACAGAAAAAGACAGGGTGATAATAAGATACTTAGAATAATATACTTTATGGAAAATGGAATGAAAATAACCAAGAATAACATGTTTAAGCATTCAAGAAGAGTTGATTCATGGATAACATTAGGTTTATCAAGTTGCTACAGTATTTACATTCCCTCAAATATATTTAAAGAGAGAAGTTTAAAAATATATTGTTTGGGGCGCCTGGGTGGCTCAGTTGGTTGAGCGACTGCTTTCGGCTCAGGTCATGATCCTGGAGTCCCGGGATCGAGCCCCCGCATCGGGCTCCCTGCTCCGAGGGAAGCCTGCTTCTCCCTCTCCCACTCCCCCTGCTTGTGTTCCCTCTCTCGCTGCCTCTCTCTCTCTGTTGAAAAATAAATAAAATCTTTAAAAATAAATAAATAAAAATAAATAAATAAATAAATAAATAAATAAAAATATATTGTTTAAATAAGGTGAAAATCACATCCTTCCCAACTATTTTATGATGAAAAATTTTAGATACCAATTTAGAGATGTGCAGTTGAACTAAACTGTTTTAAAGAGGTTCATTTACAAAAAAAGTTTGCAATTTACAGAACAGAGATCCTGGAGGAAAATGTTAAAATGAGACACAGAGCACCAAATCACAAAGGGTTTCGTATAACTCATTAAAGAATCTGGACTTTATTCTGCAGACTTTAAATAATAGAATTTCTTTATACTTAAGAAGCTAACTCTAATACACAAATTTGGGAATAAAGGTTTTTGTTCTGTTTTTGTTTCTTTGCCATACAAACTTTGATTTCATCAAGTCTGAAGAAACAATGTATAAGATCTGCATGACACAGAGCACAACTGTGATAAAATGTAATTCTTCTAGTACTATCTAGTACTTAATAGCAGACTTCCAGTTGTAATTATGAATCATTCCAAAATAAAGCTGGAAGGTTCCAAAATCTTATCTATTTTTTTAAGATTTTTTTTTTAAATTTATGGGGGGTGGGGCGAGGTCATGAGCATGAGCGGGGGAGGGGTAGAGGGCAAGGAGACTCCCCACTGAGCCTCCCTAATGGGGGCTTGATCCCAGGACCATGAGATCATGAACCTGAGCCAAAGGCCGATGCTTAACCAACTGAGCCACCCAGGAGCCCCTAAAAGGTTCCAAAACCTTTTAAATGGAAGATGTTCCCTTCCACTCCCTTATTAACAACACTCCAGGGCAGACTGCTTTTTGCTAGGCCATTTCTTCCACTGTGCAATCTTCAGATCGAGAATACATGTTTCTGACCGAGATTAGACAAGCTTTATTGTCTCTGCTATTCAAAACTAAAGCAAAGCACTCTAAATCTCACATAAGGGTCAAGACCTAAATTCTAGGAAACCCCTTCTTTTTAAGACCCACTTTAATTTCAACAAACACCAACTGATGGAATTTGTCAGGTTTCTTTTTTTAACATTTTATTTTTAAGTAATCTCTACACCTGCCCTGGGGCTCAAATTCACAGCCCAAAGATCAAGAGTCGCACGCTCCACCGACTGAGCCAGCCAGGCGCCCCTGAATTTGTCAGCATTCTTGATCAAAATCCACATTCTGGTAAATAACCAGACACAGCTCAAGAAATTTTGGATATTTACACCACCCAGGAAAACACGTGGCTCCTACTTAAAATACCATTTCATCTAAATGATGGATCCTTCCCCCCAAGAAATATCAGAATGTTCAAAAAAGAAAAAAAACTTACATGCCATGATCAATGCACTCTACAACTTTGCCAAAGGCCCCTTCACCCAAAGTGTCCACGATTTCATCTAAAGTAAGGGAGGAGAAAGAGGAGTAAGTACCTGAGTACTAATTATCTAGTTATTCAAACAATGAATACTTAAAGTGTGGAATATTTTCAAATGATCTCTACCAAAGCATAACTAAGGTTCCAGCACTCAAATTATTTTATTTTCAGCTGCTACAAAAACAATTAGATAGAGCTATCTTTCTTGCTCTAATCTCAAATTCCATTGATTATTTTGGAACTTTAGAGTAGAAATATTTAAATTCTATAGAAAAGAAGAAATACAAAAGAACAACAAACAAACCCACAAAAAAACAAAACAAAAAAGCAATGAAGAGTTCTTTAGCCCCCCGCTGACAAACTATTCTTAAAAAGATTATTCTGTCTGCAAAGTTAAAAAAGTGTTGAAAAATATTCTATACATCTTGCTCTTAGAACGTCTCCACTTTGACAGATCAGGTGACCCTCCTCATCATCCTCTATACTCCTGGATCTTTTCCTTCGGTGGCTCTTCTGGAACGGCAAGTGGGCAGCACCGAGATCGTCCAGCCAATCAATATATCAGAGTGAATTCAGGGCAGAATACGCAATTCATTCAGCGGGGAGATATTCAGGCATTCAGATAAGCACCAGGCCACGAACAGTTGGCAGGAGCAATTTCAAATTCAGTCCCCAGAAATTCACAGGGCACAGTTTATGTTACAGAAGAAAAACATGGCAAGGAACAGATTTTCAGATAAGATACTTAAAGTGGCAATAGAAAAAAACAACACAATTGTCTCTCTAAAATACTGATTTAATTGAAGTCTGAAATTTAAAGAATGCAATGTCATGATCTACTAATCTCTTGCTATAATAGCATATGCTGTGAATTGAAATGTCTAGTTTGTCAGGAAAAGGTTTTAAAATGTCAAGACTAGTTGAAATTGCTTATTTAGCAATATTTTAAAGTATACATTATTAAAGTAAAAGGGGAAATAAAAGCTAGTTAATTTCAGTGTTCAATCTAATCAAAGCTAGTTCTACTGAAGAAAACTTGGGGAAGAAAACAATTTATTCAAAGTTTACTGATTAAACAGGTGAAGATGTCTGAGTGTAAAAAAAGGCACGCTTTTGGCTAATGCATTTTCCATTCAGCACCCATTTCAGAATTTTGATGGAACTAGCTACGGACAATGACGCACTGTGCTCTGGGACTTCCCTATGTAGAGACTATCAACAATTAAGTATCCACCAGTGCAACATTCTAGATTTGTTTCCAACTATCAGGAAAAGGGCTTCTTTTAAAGTGTGTTAAAAAAAAAAAAAGTTTAAGATGAAAGAAAAGATGGGTGCTTCATCTTTTCACAAAATTATATTACAAAACTTAAAAATATTTTTAATATTAAAATCAAGAACTCATGATCTGGAGTGCAGAAAATGAGTAAACGTGGGCAAATGAAGGCTACCTAATAAATACAGATTAGCTATGAGAATCTGGATGTTTAAGGACTCAAGTAATATAAACAATTATAATATATCCAAATAATATTATATGTATACATAAACTTTTTCAAACTTACTGGCTCCTTAAGAGCTTTTACACACAAATAAGCATCCACCCAAGATAAAAACAAAATCAATCATACCGAACATGACTGATGACTTGAACAGTGTCTATTACGCTTCCTTTTAGGACTGCTTCTCCTGCTTCGGACCGAAGATTTACTGCAGTGGACTCGATAACCGCTTTCAACGTCTCTGTGATAATGTCTAGGAACATAGCCTTCACAGTAGTCATTTCTGTATTCATCAACGTATCTCCGGTCCCGATAATCTCTCTCATTCAAGGACCTTGCTTCTAAATAATGACTGTGAACACAGTAAAGGATTTCAAATCATTCTCTTCGTTCTGCAGCAGTGTGGCTCAAACAGAACAATCTCTCAGTAATTCCTGGTTTAGCAGCTAACTCAATAAAAGAAAAAACCTCAAATTGATGGATTAGAATTTATACTTATCTCATAAACTTAAGACATAATCTTGCTTTAACCAACAAGCGAGTTCACACTCTCCATCAGATAGACTATCAAACACCTCACATCAAGGAACAAAGCTTGAGTCAATTATGTTATGTTCAGGGTTTACTTAAGTGTCCCTTTACCTTTCAGAGAAAGTTAAAACCAAAAATTCACAAAACTGCTCTTCTGAAATTTATCAGTCTTAGGATACATGCATCTATAATTAGCTTGCCTGCTTTCCTCACAGAGCCACACACAATCAGAGGCAGGCCAAACAGGATTCCTTTCTCTTTTAATGTAAGAGAATTTTAGTTCTCTCCGGCACACACACAATTCTTTCATGAAAGGTATACTGGAGCTAGAAGGAATCTTAATTGCATTCCAGCCCTTTCATTTTACACATCACTAAATTAAGATCCCTAAGAAGGAAAAGGATTTGCCATGGTTGTAGAACATATTCTAACTCCTATCATACAGGCCCATTCTACTACACGTATCACCCATCCCATCTCCTCTCCTCTTCGTATTCCCAGCTTCCTGGTTTTCCTTTTTGAGAAATAGACAACACCGCTTTTGAAGGTTGCCTCATGTGCCAAAGACATTAAAATATATTCCCCACAAATGAGAAAAGGATCTTGTAATTGCTTGCCTAGGATTACAAAACACCCACCCGCACCACCCTATTTCCCTTTGTGTTCTGATTTCCTGTCATTCCCACTTGCAAAATACTCAAAAATTCTACATGGGAAACCTTACCATCTAGTGCCATAGTGCTTAACTTCTGAATCTACAGATCCCTTCAAAAATCTGATGAAAGCTATGGACCCTCTCCCTTAAGAAATGCACAAATGCACAAACAAAACTCGGCAAGGAATTGCATAGAGGTCCCGGACCCCAGGAAGTCCACAGATCCCAGTTAAGTAGCCTAGATCTGATGGAAAGAAAAGGACATAGATTCAATTGGCCCAGTTTCCCGTCCCCCTCTCTACCTGGGATGGTGTCCTCTTCAACAGAGTGCGAAGCTTCAAGAGGGATGCACATGGAGCACTGAGGGAGAGAGGGGACACCTGCCCAGTCAGACAAATCGGCTACAAGAATCCTGACAAGCAATGGAGTGACAGATGTTGACTAGTTGCCCTCACCAACCTCATTCTTTGCCCAGAATATGCTGTTGTTCTTTTTCCCAGTGTGCTGGTGTAGGCAGAGATACAGGGAAAGCATCTCTAAGCTCCTACTCAACAGGGCTGGCATCAAATCCAGGCTAGGGAAATGCAGAACCCCCTTTATCCCCTTTCCCCAGTTTTAATCTTAGGTTCTAACCACTGGAGAAATGACTCAGGATATTAGGGTAAGAATGTGAGTCTGGGTCAGGGATCTGATCACTTGGCTTCGAACTGTCAGCAACAAATCTACATCAGGCTAGAAATTACCTCACTCTTAAGGGCATCCTTTGTAATTCTGTAGGGCATCCTTTCCATTAAAGTCCAAAACCTATCAGAAAAAACTAATACTAATAATCTTTAGCTGGAATAGTGCATAAAATTAGAGCTGCAGATAATCCATAAACGATCTACAGACTAACAAACATGAGGTGAAGTAAAGCCATGAGGATAAACTAGAAAGATGAGGGACCTCTTCAATCTGTAACCACCAAGCCTTAGAGATCATATAAACAAAGTCTACAGAATTATAAAGGCTATGTATGGACAGAGTGGACAAGATGAAGAGACTGATTTAAGTTCTAAAAATATTCACTGAATGTCCAGTGAATATTTCACTGTGGTCCTTCAAGATAGCCAAGAATAATGAGGCTACGGGCATTCGTTTTTATTTCCACACAGGTCCTGTGGAAGATAAAAAAAAAAATAGATATAAGGCAAAATCCTTGCCAACAAATGAACAATCTGAGATTACGAACATAAAAACAAAACTCAACAATGCAGGAAATGTTGAAAGGTTGCATGAGTGCTAGGATCATTGGGGGGGAGGGGGGGCTCAAACTGTTTAAAATGGTCAGGGAAGACTCCATAAAAAAGCAGAGTTGCATCTTAAAGGGAAGTCAAGATTTCGATACAGTAGAAAGCAGAAGAAATGCCAGGGCAGAAGAATGGCATTATTACCATCTCACATTAACAGATCACAACAGTGTTCTGGGAGATGGCCTGTCTACGTATTACCCAGGAAACAGTACGTAGACAATTACAGCAAGACCAATTTTCCACATAGGGGAACGAACAGAGGCAAATAAATAAGCAGGGAACAGATCATGCAAATCTTGCATGCCAGGCTGAAGAGTTTAAGATAGCGTTTCTCAAAGGGTGGTCTGTTTATCAATAGTATCAAAATATGGAATTATTAAAAAATGAAGATCCCTGGGCCCCAGGTCAGACTGACTGAATCTACATCTGGTAATATGCATTTTACACATACCTCTGAGGAGATGAGATTCTGTTCACACTCAAATTTGAGAATCACTGGTTTAAGACTTGATACTCTAGGTTACATAAGGCAAGAACTTTTACCACAATACATAAAAGCACTGTTTATAGCCACATCAGTCTTCCTGATATACTGTACAGAACTAATTAAGCCTGTAGCAAGGGAGACCAATTCACAGGCTACTGCCAAAAGACAAATCAGAAAGACACTTTGCAATATGTATGAAAAAAGGTTAAAAAAAATTGATATACAGTAAAAGCTCTTCTAAATCAGTAAAATACTCTGAAAGAGAAAAAATATGTATTGGACAAACTCACTAAAACCTTAAAAATTCGAATTAAAACCACTATTCTTGGCATTTCAAAATGTCAAGACTGGTAGGAGCATGAAAGAACATGTTGTAGAATCTGGTACAAACTTTCTAGAAAAAAACATGAATATGTAGCAAGAGGTTTATAAGAGTTCACACCCTTTAACTTAAAAATGTCCCTTCTTAGAACCTATTTTCAGGAAATAGAAACAAAGACTTGTAAAGAATGATTTTTTAAGAACAGTTAGAAATAATGGGGGACTTACCACCTACCAAGGTTACCTTCTTTACAGTTTACTGCAGTTCTCTTTTCAATAATTTTATAAAAAATACTACTGTAAAGTTTTGTTTTATTTATTTATTTATTTGACAGAGAGAGAGAGAGAGAGCACAAGCAGGGGGAGCAGCAGAGGGAGAAGCAGGTTCCCCGCCGAGCAGGGAGCCCAATACGGGGCTCGATCCCAGGACTCTGGGACCATGACCAGAGCCGACGGCACACGCTTAACCGAATGAGCCACCCAGGCACCCCTATTGTAAAGTTTTTTAATCTTCAAAAAAGGCTATTAGAATATTCCAGATTATGGAGAGCAATTACCAGAAGACACCCCTGGTGCCACTGTCAAAGCAGCAGCTGCTGGCCAGCTGGTTAACTGGACTGACACAGTATCATGTTTATGTAGTTAACTGTGAACAAGAAAACTATTCATCACTCAAACCTTCCTTCCTACATATACAATGAATAACAAGCTTATCGATTATCAGTACTATGATGTTAAACCTCACAGGGCATTTTGTATTTGTTAATAGAAGGGAACAGACGTTTTTCTACAGTGCATTAATTAGCTCAGGTCACCGTCATCCTGGCGCACACCCTCCCTCTTCCCCATATGACAGTATGTGATGAAGAAAAGATTAGTCTGCAGTGACTATCCACAAGCTCACTGTTCCGCAGAACAAGACTGTTTTAGCATGGAGAAGGAAAAAAATTACATACTCTTTTTTAAAGTAACCCCAGCTGGCTAATTTAGAAAGCAATCTGGCAAACAGTCTCAATGGAACATCTGTACAAAACAAGGAGAAAACACAGAACCAACAAAACAAATGAGAAAGGGAAGTTAATGGAAGACAGACCGAAAGAAATGCTACTCACCTAGCCTTTCTTTAATCCTTTAGGAACTTTAAAATTCCTTTAATTCTATATAAATGTATTACCTCCAAATTTTACACAGTAGTATAATTAAACAGGACATGTGCTACTGAACAATTTTTATTGAGGCCCTTTCCTAAATTACTGGTTCTTACAATAACCAAGCTTCTAAAAGTCCTACACACCTCCACTGGCCTTATCCACAAATATAACCTACAGAATACAGTGTAAGTGACTAATCCCCCCATGCACTTTACCATTCCCAAGTAGCACATGCTGGTTTTCTCATCTGGACTAACTCTCCCTACCCCCTCATCATCTCTCATTCGTGGAACCCTAAATGAGCACCCCAAAATACACATCTCCTCCTACATACAAGTTAAAGGCACTCACTGGACATCCTGTCACCACTCTGACTAAACTCTTTGTGTCTCACCGCCCTCACTACCACCGCCCTGGCAGCTGGGACTCAACTGTCTCCCACCAGGCCCAGCCAGACATCAACAAGAGTGTGAACTGTTTTAGTCACAGCTGTAGTCTCAGCACCTGTACGGTATTTAGCCTATAACAGGAATCCAACAAACGTTTTCTGAGTATCTCCTGACTGAACTATAAAACAATCTGACAGAATAAAGCTACATAAGCTAATGAGAAATCATTAAAACGCCTAGTGTTAAAATGTGACTAATTCAAAAGTAATTTACCAATCAGATTCTTTAAACTGGTGATGTGCTTTACAGTGTCTGTTCTCTTGCGTACTACTGTGGGACCTCCTCTTCCGTTTGTGACTTTCACTGTAGCTTTCATGGCCCCAGCTTTCTCTGCTATCCCAATCAGGGCAGTGGGTTCTTTTGGAATGCCGCATCTGTTAATGGAAAGGAATAGTGAGCTGTGGAGACGATAGATGGCTATGTTTAGTAAATAAAATATTACACAGCATTTAAATATAAACACTCAGCACATGGGCTCCTATGGGTTCTAACATCTTTGTAGGTGGTATTTCCCAAGGCATAGAACACCATTCCATGGTATGTCAGATGACTGTAAATGGCATACAGATCTAGTACCAAATGATGCAAGACACTGTGAGACCTTAATAATACACTTTCTTTCAATTCTTCTAAAGAAATGCTCAAGTTTGGTGTTTATCTTCAACTAACCCTTGCTAACTGCCATTGTAAACATGGTCAAAGAGCTAGGATTTAGACTTAGAACCTCCAGTAGACAATATCCAGCTAAAAATTAATAATTTGAGTGGTTTTAATTCATTTTTATTACTTTTAAGATTTTATTTTTAAGTAATCCCCATACCCAACGCAGGGCTTAAACTCACAACCCCAAGATCAGGAGTCACATGCTCCACCAACTGAGCCAGCCAGGTGTCCCTTACCTTCCTTTTATAGTAAATGATCTCCTGATTAAGTTATTAATATGGTTTCTTTAAAACAAAACGTTAAAAAAAAATAGCCCATAAAAGTTAAGATTTTTGTTATTTGACAGAGAGAGAGCACAGGCAGGGACCGACAGGCAGAGGGAGAGGGAGAGGGAGAGGGAGAGGGAGAAGCAGGCTCCCCACAGAGCAAGGGGTGGGGAGCCCAATGCAGGATTCCATCCCAGGACCCTGGGATCATGACCTGAGCTGAAGGCAGTCGCTTAACCAACTGAGCCACCCAGGGGCCTTATGAACTATTTTAAAGAAATACCCTAAGTGTCATACAGCTTTGGCAAAATTCTGTAATACAGACAACTGAAATCAGAGGAACACTTAGGGACACTAAATACAGGGGATGATGTTTTAAAGGTAAAGAAGCTTCTTTAAAAAAAAAAAACCAAAACACTAAAGAGAGTTCCCTTTTCTAATCTCAGAATGACTCCAAGCTTTGGGGAAAAAAGTAGGACATGAGTAAAACACAGTATTCAAACAGAGAAACTGAAAAGCAAAACAAAGATTTTTTTTTTAATAAACTCATTTTCTCTATTCAACAAGTTTATTTTCAGATCATCTTGCAATTAGTCTTAAAATGAAAACATAATTGTTGTAGATCTGGGGTGACTGAAGAAACCAACCTACAAGGATGCACATGGTCAGTGAAATCAGATGAGGGTAATGACCATTCCCTGATTTCCTGCTTCCCTCTACAACCTCTAATGCAAAGGTTCCTTCCAGGCTCGGGATAGGTGCTCTAACAATGTAATCACTATCTGCTGCTCCCCATCTTACTTCTTTTACCAAGCAGTTAAGTTTTTAACAGTGATATCCAAACTGCTCAAAGGGTGAGTTTTGCAACTCAAGAGCTGAAAAAAAGGTAAAATGGAGCAAATTCAGCTTAGTTTACTGCCTTTAGCTTGCCCAAATGACTTTGTAACAAACAAATTCAAGTAAAAATTTAAATAAATGATTTCAAATGCATTAAAAGACTTGAAATGAGGCAGCTGCAATTCTCCTGGGAGGTATTCCCTAAGAAAATATTTGTATCATGCCTTTTGCTTAAAAAGAGAAGAGAAGGCATTGGTCAGGTAAATCAAAAATTCTAAAATGTGTTAGGATTCTCATTGGGAATGATTTAAGTGAGCATTCCAGTGTGATACAGAGTCACCTCAAAATGGGAAACTGAAATGAATGACACTACCAGTTAACTTGAGGCAAGGCCAACAGAAAAGCCATCTAAAGAAATTTGTATTTCTAGTGGAATTCTTCCAAACCTTCCTTTAATCACCCCACCTGTCTTTTAACCACAGTAGTAACTCTTTAAAATAGCTTGGTTAAGCATTCTTAAATCACAGCCAGCAAAATTACAACACCTGATGACTGAGGATTATCATCATGATTATCCATTATGAATGCAGTTTTTGCAAAACTATCTGCTTTAGCTTTGTGGGGTGTTTTTTGTTTGTCTGTTTGTTTTTGCCCCTTCTGTCAGTCTGCCAAAACCAGCTCATCTCTAACAAGGCAGAATACTCAGATCACCAAAATTATCAATACTCAAAACATTGAAATAAGAATGAGCACCCTGAACTTTTCCCCCTACTAATGTTCAGAAATATTGTCTCAGGAGGCAGAGAGAATCCCAGACCTGCATGTCAAAGGTCCTTCACATCCACACAAAAGAAAAAACCACTTAGAATTATTACACTACCTTCAATCAAGAAACAGTCTTACATGTGAGAGTCCCCGCATATCTTTCACTGGAAACATCGGACACAACGGATCCGCCTTAGAAATCTGATTCTCTTACTGCCCTTTCATACCCAATTTCATGCTGTGGACATGACTTTTTTTTTATTTTTTTAGATTTTATTTATTTATTTGACAGAGAGAGAGAGAGTGAAAGCAGGAACACAAGCAGGGGGAGTGGGAGAGGGAGAAGCAGGCTCCCCGCTAAGCACGGAGCCCGATGCGGGGCTCGATCCCAGGACCCCGGGACCACGACCCGAGCCGAAGGCGGACGCTTAACGACTGAGCCACCCAGGCGCCCCTGTGGACATGACTTTTAAAAACATCGGGGGCGCCTGGGTGGCTCAGTCGTTAAGCGTCCGCCTTCGGCTCAGGTCATGATCTCAGCGTCCTGAGATCGAGCCCCGCATCGGGCTCCCTGCTCGGCGGGAAGCCTGCTTCTCCCTCTCCCACTCCCCCTGCTTGTGTTCCCTCTCTTGCTGTGTCTCTCTCTGTCAATTAAAAAAAAAAAAAAAAAGGAGATGCTCAACTGACTGAGCCACCCAGGCACCCCACATGAATGCGTTCTTTATTTAAAAATAGTAAAATAGGGGCGCCTGGGTGGCTCAGTCGTTAAGCGTCCGCCTTCGGCTCAGGTCGTGATCCCAGGGTCCTGGGATCGAGCCCCGCATCGGGCTCCCTTCTCGACAGGAGGCCTGCTTCTCCCTCCCCCACTCCCCCTGCTTGTGTTCCCTCTCTTGCTGTCTCTCTCTCTGTCAAATAAAATCTTTAAAAAAAAAAAACATCGGAAGAGGCTGAAGGTATGATTAGATGGCCCAGAAGGACTGCACCTAACGGGTAACGGGAGCCTGGAGGAGCGCGTGTGCGGAGCACAGTCACAGCAGGACAGCTACAAAACAAGGCCGAGCGGGGCGGGTCAGCGTGCGAGGCCACCTGGTAACCGAGGCCAGCCTGACGCCCAAGCGTCGGGAACGCAGATCAGCGCGGCAGCCGTGCGCTCCGCTTCAGGCGGCGGGAAGGGCGCTGCACCAGGCTCGAAGCCCTGCGCGGTCCCCCTCCCCCGAGCCCGGGCTCGGTCCCCCACCCGGACCGGCGGCCTCGCAGTGCCTCCGACGCGCACTCCGCCCCGCCCGGGCACCTGGCCAGGGCCTTCGGCGCCCTCGCAGCCAGGTCCAGAGGCTTTGACTGGAAAACCCCGGAACGCTACCGCGGGGCAGAGACCAGGCCCTGGGGGGAGAACCTGACCTCCGACTACACCGGCCCCCAGGGCAGCTCTCGAAGGGTCTTCCCGACACGTCCTCGCTCTCGCCGGCGGCAGGGGCCAGGGCTCCCGGAGCCCCGACGCGAGGGCCAGGCCATCAGAGACGCGTCCGCGGCACAACCGCCGCCCCGCCGCCCCGGGACTTCAAATCTACCAGGGCACCCGAGCAACTCGAGGTTCAAAGGCCACCAGCGGGGCTGTGCTCGAAGAAAGCCCGATCGCCAAGGCCCCGGACTGGGTCATTTCTCCGACACCTGGCTTCTTAAGAGACTGGAAACGGCCCAGCCCGGCCCACCCAAAACCTCACCTCCGCAAAAGCAAAAGGCCCTCTGGCCGGGAAACGTCGCCAAACCGCCGTCTTCCCTCTCCAGCCGCTGCGACAAACACCCCACAAAATGGCGGCAGCGCCGTCTCCTGACAACCCCCGGGGCGGCCTCTAGCGCCACCTACGCCGCGCGAGCGCGCCTGCGTGACAGAGGCTCGCGCGCTCCCGTCACTGCGCGGAAGGGGCGGGGCTTCTGTGACGACCCGGGCCGGGCCGGCCCTCCACACTGCGGCTGCGCGGCCCAGGCAGGCCCCGCCCGGAGGCCTGGGGGCGGGGTGGTGGACCGGACCCTGAAGGTTGTTTCCGTGGGGGCGGGGTCTGGATGAAATCCGCAGGAAATGCCTGGGCTCTGTCGGGACCGTGTGGCACGTGTCTGCTCCTTCAGGTGCAGCTGGGTGCGGCGCCCCTCGGCGGAGCCAGCCGTGGCCCCGGTTCCTGCTCTCCCGCTCAGCTGGACCCACTGTGGCCCTTGGGCTGCCGTCCCTCGGTCCTCTCCGGGGCGTCAGCGCTGGAGAGTGCCAACAAGCCGCAGCTAAGCCCCCAAACCTGCCCTGTGCCCGGCCCGGGGCGGGTGCTGCGGGCAGTTCAGTGATCAGGGCAAGAGTCGTCCAGCTCGCCTGGGAGCTTGCAGTCTAAAATGGAAGGGCATAAATAGAGAGGATGTCTCAGAAAACAAGCTCAGGGTTGCTTCTCTTTTTGAGGCCTGTGCTCCTCGTCGGAAGAACACAACAAACAAAAGGAGCAAGTTTCAGCTGAGACTCCTCACAGGGTTCTTCCTGTTAAGGTGCCTGCTTCCCGGGCAGGTGGTAGCTGGAAAATTTCCCTAACAAAGCTCCCATTTTTGTGTCCTTGCTGGGTGGGTTTCGTTTAACCGAGGCAGAGTAACATCTGAGAGCTAGTGAGCATCTGTTAAGGGGCTTGCTTATCTCAAAGTATTTTGCAGTTCTAAGGAGTCCCTAGACAGTTCTCCACTGTGAGTGTGTAGAGAAAAGAGAACCAGTCTGAGCCCTAGGAAACGCTTTTAAGGGACGGAGGGAAAGAGCCTGAGAAGGAACGATCAGAAGGAGAGGAGAACCAAGAGTGCGGTGTCAGAGAAAGCTGGTGGGAGAAGGGCTTAAATGAAGGAAAAGCTGGCAGTCCCAAATGCAGGGAAGGGGTCAGGTATCCTTAGTACTGAAGGGGTCAAGAGGATTCTGTATTCTGACAAGGACTCACTGAATAAAAGGGAAAGCCAGAAATCAAATTTGGGAGGACAGGGTTGGATGGTTATGGACATAAACTCAATAGCACCTGAACTCTTGTATATCGTTAGGTGAAAGGAAGACCCTGTAATTTAGTGATCTGATATCCTTAGACACTTGTGCCCCCTACTTAGGATAAATTGAATTGTCATAGAGATTGTACCACAGGACTTCAAAAAGTGAAGTTGAAGATACGTACATCCTCACGGAGATCATGCCACCCTTCAAGAAGCGAAGAAATGGAGTTGGAAAGATAACTGGAAAATTGGAACTGAAAATTCTTTATGCTATAGAATGAAACGGACAATATTATTGTTGTCTGGAGTCGCCAACATTTCTGTATCGACAACTCTAAATCTTGCCCATCCTTCCAGGTCCATCTATAAGATGCTGTCCCAGACTAGATCTGTTCCCAGCCGTTACCCTGCTCTTGACTAGGCACCAGTTAGAGATGAGGTCCTGAAACAGGCACCCACAGCATACTGTTATGCCTGGAGCCACCAAGATACACCAACCAATTTTGCCCAAAACATGAAATTCACTGGTTCTACGACTGATTACCCATGCTGGATCAGGGACATCTATCAGATAGAGTGCCGAACTGGGTGGACTGGGCCATCTGCAAGGTAAAGTGGGGCTCAGCTTACTGTGTATGTACAGGCATAAACTGAAGCCGGCACCGAAGAAAACTTGCTTTTTTTTTCTTTTTGCTGAGAAACGTTTGTCTCAAGAGGATATGAGAGAATGTGGTCAAGACTGTGCACAGTTCTGCTCAAACAGCAATACAACATTACAAGGCAGCCCAGTGAAGGAGTAACTGGGTGGTTTGGTCAGTTGGGCATCTGACTCTTGATTTCTGCTCAGGTCATGATCTCAGGGTAGTGGGATCCAGCCCCTCATAGGGCTCCACGCTCCCCCTGATTGTGTGCTCTCGCTCTCTCAAATAAAATCTTAAAAAAAAAAAAGGCAGCCAAACGGAAAGGCCCCCAGAGGCATCTATAGACATCCCAGAAAAGTGTTCCCGAATAGCAGAGTCTGCTTTGTAGTTGCTGCTATCTTGTTTAAATGTCATTTTGAGTATTTAATCTTAAGTGTGGGGTTGCTGGGTGGCTCAGTAGGTTAAGCATCTGCCTTTAGCTCAGGTCATAATCCCAGGGTCCTGGGACGGAGTCCCACATCGGGCTCCCTGATCAGTGAGGAGTCTGCGTCTCCCTCTGCCCTTCTGCCCCCACACTCATGAGCGTGCTCTCTCTGGCAAAAATAAATAAATAAATAAATAAAATCTTAAAAAAAAAGAAAATCTTAGTTTTGAAGAGCAAGCAGAGGAATATTCTTGTATAGTCTAGCACAGGTATGAGAGCAGAGTTTTAGAGAAAAAGTCTAAATTGTCAAGTAAATTAATTTTAACAAAAGCTTATCGTCTCTCTAGAGAAACCTTTACAAAGGCATAAACAATCCTTTACAGAGTTATAACCTCTGTTTTAAGTTGCCTATTACTGATAATTACCAATCTGTATTCAATTAGATTTTTCACTTGTGTTTAGCTATCAGTTAAATATCCATTATGTGCTAACCACTGTATATCCATGGTCGCCTCATTTAATAATCTAAACAACCCTATGAAGTGATCACTCTTTGGTTATTTGCTCTAGGTCACAGTTAATAAGTACCAGAACCAAGATTCAGCCTTAGGCCTTGCTTGCTCCAAAGTACTGGCATTTAACTATTCTAAGTGCTTCAACTCATAGAACAAAGTACATAACAACTCACTTTCCTTAGTCCTTATGGAAAATATGCCGAATCCATCTTTCATCAACACCAAAGGAGTTTGTCTTAAAAAAAAAACCAACCGCTCTCCACGGTGATACATCACCAAGGGCTGCTCATGATGAAACAATGGGTCAGATTATCTCCAGCACGTCCAGGTCATCAAAGGCCTCAGCATGCCTCATTCATTGTTCAACAGCAAGTCACAAAGGACTCCATGCATCCCACACTGCTGAAGATGGATAACATCCCCCGTTCCGTGTTTCCTGACACTGGTTGTGAGGGGATTCACACAGCACAGGATTATTAAGCAGGATTCAGTCCCACCAGACAGTGCTAGAAGAGTTCCCTGATACACAAAGCACCTTGCCACGTATATGTGAGGAGGAGAGTAAAAGGGTGCTGGAAGGGATTTAATTCAGAGGTTCTGGAGGGAATAGGATGGGCTGGTCTTCCCAATTTTCTTGTGAATTTCCAATGAAAGGGCTTTAGAGCCAGGTTAATAAATTACTTTCTCAACCCCCACTTACCAATAGTCTCAACTGTCACCCATCCCGTGAAACCATTGCAGGGAAAATACATTTACCTAAATCCTAAATCTCTCGTGACTGTTGTAGATGCCTACATAAAAGTATGGAAATATGTCATATATATTTGTCTTCGAATCTTCTGGGCTTAACCCTTTCTTTCACTGTATAATTGTCAAGTTCCTGTGTCATGTACTTATGCTACACACTGATCTAGGTGCTGAGGATACCACGGTACACGAGGAAAAGTACCTGCCCTCATAGAGCTTAGATTCCAGTGGGGGAGAGAGAAAGAAAATAGAATAAAATATTTCAACTTTTTAAAAAGATTTATTTATTTTAGAGAGAGAGCGTGCGTGCAGGGGGAGGGGCAGAGGGAGAGGGAGAGAGAATCTTCAAGCAGACTCCCTGCTGAGCGTGGAGCCTGATGCAGGGCTCGATATCACAACCCTGAGATCATGACCTGAGCCAAAACCAAGAGTTGAGCGCTTAACCAACTGAGCCACCCTGGTGCCCCAAAATACTTCAACTTTTTATATATGCCATGAAGGAAACAAACTGGGGACTAAAAGCATAACTGAGGAGGGTCATCTTTAAGTAGGATGAAGACAAGGACTCTCGGCAGATAGGACAAGCGGGGCTAAAGGGAAAGAAGAAGGTGGTCATGGGAACAGTGGAACAGAAACCCACAGGAAGTCTCTTTTAACCCCATTAAGACAACATGTGTGAGGATACTCTGACATTTTGTGATAGGAAGAAAAGATTATAATGTAGATGTTCATCACTAGGGAAGTGGGTAAATAAAATGGATGCACAGTTGATCCTTGAAGGGTGCAGGGGTTAGAGGTGCTGACCCCCACCGCACATTTGAAAATCTGTGCGTAACTTTTGACTCCCTCAAAACTTAACTACTCATAGCCTACTGTGGACAGGAAACCTTACAGATAACATCAACAGTCCATTAACACATTTTGTATGTTACATGTATTATACACTGTATTCTTACAGTAAAGTAAGCTAAAGAAAAAAATGTTAAGGAAATCATAAGGAAAATACATTTATGGTACTGTACTGTGTTTATTGAAAAAAACCCGTGTATAGGTGTCAGACCCACACAGTTCAAACCTGTGTTGTTCAAGAGTCAACTGTATACTACACATAAGTTAAAAGCAATGAACTAAATTTACATATGGCGATACAGACCTGAGAACTTAACATGGAGTGAAAAAGAAAATGCGATTTGTAACACAATGTCATTTTTGCCGTTTTTAAAAAACCACAACTATGCTACATGTTTTCAAGGATACATATATAAATAAGTGACTTATTTGGTCACTTTGGGGTAGATTGAAAGGACAACATATTAAATGCACTAGTTCTTCTCAGAGTTCTGAACTTTAGCATCAGGGAGCGCTGAGGCTATACATTCAGTTTCCTTTGCAGCTTTGCTCCCCCTAACGTTAGATCCTGAGTCTTATTTTCAGTACAATCTTCCCTGTGGCTATAAAAGTTCTCTGACTCTACAGCTGGCTGACCTGACCTCGCCAAGTTCCTTCTTCAAGGCTT